ATGTTGCCTGTGGGCAGGATATGGAAGCTACGGCTGGCTGGGCCAGTTCCGATTCCCAGCTGACAGGCACTGTGGATGATAACTGTGTGGTGCGGCCTGCTGGGTGGGGGGTTTAAGTACCAGATGGTAGTTACCTGGGCGTCAGGGAAAGGGAAATTGAAGGGGTGGGGTCAATACTCGGGGTGTGTGTGTGTGCCAGCCACCCATATGACTGAACCCATCAGATAGGAAATGGCTGATCATTGGGAAATGTTACAGTTTGTGGGAGTTTCCTTGGCTTCATTAACTTTTACAGACAAAGCCCAGGCCTGGCCAACACTTGAAGTGGACAGCAGAGTGCCAGAATGCATTTGAGATGCTTAAGATCTTGTTTTCCAAAGAGCCGGTCTTAGAACATCCGGATCCTAGTAAAACTTTTGTGGTGCAGACGGACACCAGTGATGTAGTAGTGGGAGCTGTCCTGCTGCAGAACAATAGCCAGGACCAGTTACAACCATGTGGATATTCGTCCCAGAAACTATCACAAACCGAACAGGGTTGGGCTATCTGGGAGAAGGAGGCGTTTGCAGTGAGATGGGCCTTACTCACATGGAGACATCTAATGGAGGGTGCCCAGGAGCCATTTGTGGTGTGGACAGATCATAAGAATCTTGAAGCCCTCCAAATGCCACGGAAGTTGTCTCCAAAGCAGGTTCGATGGGCCCAATACTTCTGGAGGTTTAACTTCATGTTGAAGTATGTCCCTGCCAGGAGGAATTTCCTGGCTGACGCTTTGTCTCAGTTGCCGCAATATAATAGTAGCCGGGAGGACGTAGTACAGGTGATCATGCCTCCTGGGCCACAACATGTGTATACAATAGTTGAGAGGGTGGAGGATGCGTGGACAAAGGAATTACGAGTCGCATTATCCACAGATCCCTGGGCAAATGTACATGCTACGCAGTTATCAGAAAAGGAAGGGTTGCTGTGGAAGGGTGAAAAGATGTATATACCCCTCTCCTTGAGGACTGTGGTCCTGAAACGCTGTCACAATGTGAGACAGGCTGTCCAGTATGTCCAACTACGAAACCAAGACCTGGAAAGCCTCTTGTCTTGTTACAAACAGTGGCTAACCCTGATAAGATCCTGGCAAGACATAGCCATGGTTTTCATAGTGGAACTGCCGGAAAGCAATGGTCACATGATGATATGGACAGTGATCGACCTGTTTTCTAAACAGGCTCATTTTATACCGTGTGCCTGGCGAGGATGTTCATCAACCACGTGTATCGTCTCCATGGGGTGCCACAGTGTATCATCTCCAACAGAGGAGTGCAGTTTACGGCCAGCTTCTGGAGGGGTTTTATCCAGCTTATAGGGTCATCACAAGGGCTGAGCACAGCTTTCCATCCTAGCACTAGTGGTGCCGCTGAACGAGCAAATGTAGCGATAGATATTTAAGATGCTATGTGTCATACCAGCAAAGGGATTGGGTGGGTCTCCTCCCCTTTGCAGAAGTGGCATTTAATAATGCCATACATAACAGTACAGGGTTTACCCCCTCTCGTGTAGTCAACGGGGTGGAGTTTGTACCCATACCCCAGTGGCCTCATAGTCCCCAACCCCAGGTTATCCTTAAGGAGTGGGTTGACCGGATGGAAAGCACATGGCCAGCTGTAAAATAAGCACTGCAAAAAGCAGCTGAGAGTTATAAGGTACAAGCAGATAAAAAGAGAGCAGAGAGCAAACTGTTTCAAGTAGGAGACAAGGTGTACCTCTCCACTAAATATATAAAGCTACATGTACCCTGTAAAAAACTAGGCCCCAAATACATAGGGCTGTTTCCAATCATCCGGGCTATAAACCCTGTAACTGTTGAGCTGAAATTACCCTCGCTGTTAGGGAAGATCCATCCTATGTTTCACAGCAGTCTGTCGAAACCAGTAGAGGTGAAAGACGTACGCCCTACTGCTGATCTACCTGGACCGGTTATGGGAGACCATTATGAAATAAGCGAGGTTCTCGATTTGCGGGTTCATAGGGGTGTCCTTCAATATCTCGTGAGGTGAAAGGGTTACCCTGCTAGCGAAGCCTCCTGGGTGGTGGCCCCAGACGTGCAAGCCCCTCGTATTCTTTGGAGGTTCCACTGAATGTATCCACAGAAGGAGGGACCCGCAGAAGGATCAGACACGCAGCGAAGTATGTCACACTGCCTGGTCTCTTGTCTTTCAGACATATCCCTGGTACAGGGGGCCGCATGTCAAGCTCTGGCCTGGAGCTTGCCAAAGAAGCCAGGATGCACCTCCCCCTCCTGCTGTCAGCTGTCATACTGCGCATCCCGATGTCCTCGCCACGCCGCCAGCTGCCTTCCTGCCCTTCCGGATCATGGCTTCCTGGGAACAGTGGGGACAGCACAGCCGAATAGTGACGGCACGGGAGGGACGAAATGCCAGCTGCCTTCCTGCCGATCCAGACCACAGCTTCCTGGGAGCAGTGGAGACGGCACAGCTGGATCACATGGCACGAGATGGGTGTTGCGATGGCATGGGCTTCCAGAGCCACAGGAAGCGCATGTTGGCTGCGGGTGGGATACGGAGGCTATGGCTGGTTGGGCCGATTCCGATTCCCAGCTGACAGGCACTGTGGATGCTAAGAGCGCGGCGTGGACTGCTGGGGCAGTTCCAGGGCAGCAGGGCAAGGGAAATTGAAGGGGTGGGGTTAGGGTATATTGGAACGGCGGGGAGGCGGATGCCTTAGCACTGACTTTGAATGGATCACTACTTCTTGGGCTTGCTGGATTTGTAGCACGGAGTAAAGATACTACTGGAATGTCTGTTTGGTCTGTATTTATTTCATCCATTCTATTACCTACCAGACTTGCTAAGAGTAGCTGAGAGACAAGCGGTGTGGGGAGAAAGGCGGGCAGCAGCAAAAGGCAAGCATGGTGGGAGTGGAAAGGCAGGGGAGAAAGGCAGGCAGTGGCATAAAGCAAAAGGCAAGCATGGCAGGGCTGCGTGCCAGGGAGTAGGGAAGGCAGGAAAGTGGGCCTGGCCATGGGGACCACCGGGAAGGCCGTGGGGAAGGCAGGGAAGCCAGCTGGGCTTTGGGGCCACGGGGTGCTTGCAGTTACTTACCTAGGCAGATCAGGGCAGCTTAGCTGGGCCATGTGGGAGGTAGCTAGGCTGGGATTTGGGCCTTGCTGCTTGCAGGCTCACCCAGGCTGCCAGGCAGATCAGGGCAGCTCAGCTGGGCCATATGGAGAGCGCTGCATGGGATGCAGCTGAAGGCAGGCAAGCTGGCTGGGCCTCAGAGACCACATGGTTGAGGCAAGCCAGGGAGCCAGACGGAGAGCAGCAGCAGCTATGCCGGGCAAACGGACGAGATGAGAAGGGGCAGGGCGGGGGTGGGTGGGGCAGCGGTGGGCAGGGTGGCGGTGGGAGGGGCCAGCCAGAATTATCGCTACTGGTTCACCCAAACCGGCTAGAACTGGCAGAATCCCACCACTGCCTCAGTCCCCCAATGACTACCCTGATGTAGTACTTCCAAAATCAACATTTGCCTTTCATCAGGTACTACCCATTTACCTCCTCCACTTTCTACGGCTCACACTTTCTCTAACTCCTTCTTCTCATCTAACATTAAACATTCAGTTCTTTCTGCTGCTACCATCCTGGCTTCTAAGTCAGCTAAATTATTGCCTCAAGCTTCAAAGGAATTCAGAGCTTGATTTAAAGCATATAATTCACAAGTCTGTGCAGACCAACTTAACTTTCTAGTTTCTACCAAAACTCCTTCTCATACCTTCTACCACTTTCTCTTCCCGTCTATAAACAAATTAACCCCTTCTCAGCACCAATATCTGATCACCCTAGCTGGATTCAAGTGATCATCAGTGGTTAATACTAAATCATTATGTTCCATAAGCATATTTCAAAATCCTTGAATATGTCAGGGTCTAACATTTTAGACAAAAATGCCACTGACTCTCTCTTTCCTCCCCACTTCTGGGTTAAAACCCTCAAAGCCATTCCCTTATCCATGTAACAGTAGGCTCTTTGCATACCAGTCTTTATTCAAAATAGCATAATTATCTATTCACAGCCTACAATATCCAGTCAATCCTCGACATTTTCTTAACTTCTTCAGGTGTTATTTTTCTACTTCTTTCATTAATCAAATATCCTATGTATTTTATCTCTCTTTTCACATGTTGTCATAGGATGGAGCACCTTGACTCCTAAGTATTCAAAATCAGTGTGTTGGATTCAGATTCCATTCAGATGGAAGCAAACTGTCATTAAGTAGGTTAAAAACATTTACAAATCTATTACAAAAGATTTCAAAATAATTTCTTTCACATAATTCAGCATTTTAAATCTCAAAAACTTCCAGAAAAAAAATCAAAATTGTGTTCAGAAAAGAAAAATGTCTGCATAGCTTTCTATATGCAGGCCAAAAACAGTACAAACTGCAAAACTGCAAAGGCAGATATTAGATGTCACCCTTTACCCTGCCCTTCTTAGGCTGGCTCGGCAGAGAGAAAAAAAAGAACAGAAAACTGCAGCCGCCACCCCCTTTCCTGCTTCTCTCACTCTTCCAAGGCAAAAAGTCCCAAGAATGACTGGGGGGGAGGGGGGAATACAGGGAGGAAAAATATTTAAACTACACAGAATTCTCACCTCCTTTCTCCATTCTGCATCCTTTCAACAAAATAATTTTCTCTGTATTTCACTCTAGCTTCAATAAATCACAGGCATTTTCCACAAATTTCTCTCCCACATCCTCCATGGGATCTTTCTCATTTCTTTTTCTTGCAAACACTTGCTATTGCCTTTTCACTTACTTCACAACAACAACAAAAACCTTGCAACTTGCTGTTTCTTTATACAAAACGGAATCTCTCTGAGGGGGGGTCAACACACAGGCATTCACTTTGCCTTATCACTCCTTATGAGCCTCGGGGTATCTCACACACACACTCACATTTGTACTGCAATCAGACTTTTTGTGTAAACCGATTTCACATACAAAAAATTCATTTCATGCTTTCTCCATGCAAACCAATCATTATAATTATTTTAGGGAGCTTTTTCACAAGCCAATGAGCTCCATTTTCTAAATAACTTTTTGTGTACTATTATTAGAGGGTCTCATCCTCCCTGCAGGTTTGGAAATGATTACAGACACATACACACACATACCATTAAACATTTCCAGACCTGTGGAGGTTTTGTCCCTTCAAATTTTCATTTATTTTTCTTTTTAAAAGACATTTTTAAAGAAACTTGTACTGCCACAACATGGTTTTTTAAAATTTTTATTTATTTTCCCCCCCCCCCCCCCCCGCCCATGTGTTCCAGTGGGCTAACATGCAGCCAAATGGAGAACACGGCCCTATTCTTTTTACTAGGTTATTTGTTCTGTACAGGCTACTAATATTGTTGCCCATATTTCCTAAGGGGAATTCTCAGACCTTTCCATTGGCTCGAACCCTCCCTTTTCCTAAGGGATTTCTCAGACCTTCCCATCAGCTCAAAGTTGGTCAGAACCCTCCCGAATCTAAAAATTATGATTCCAATGGTCACACTCCTTTCAAAGTGTAGGCAAACCTCTAGTAGGTATTTCCCACATCCCAGTCACTCACACACACACGGCAATACTCCCCTCCCCAAAAAGAATTTTCTACTCACCTAGAAGTACTAAGTTCCACAAACCCTGGTGCAAGCCTCTTTGATTAAGTCATTCAGGTTTGGCTGGAATCAGAATCTGACAGCAAATGACCAGGTCGAAGTTACTGGGTCAAATTTGCCAGGAGCACTTGACTTCGCTACTGGTCCCAGCTGGTTTCTTCCGTCTGCCATAGTGAAGGCCACTGAACTTCAAGGAGTTCAGCTCGTGAGGAGCTGAATGCAGCCACCTCAAACGAACGATGCCTTTGAGCCCCACGTTGGGCACCAGAAAATGTAAGGTCCCAAAATGTACTTGAGTCACCAGAATGCCAAAGAGAGAGACCCAAGAAGAGGCTTGGAAAAAATATCAGCTTTTATTTGCACAAAGAAGAGCTGGGCAGACATTCCACAACATACAAAAAACATGCAGTGAAAGGCCACACCTTGGGGAAGGTATAGTGTCCTTTTATACCTTTAGAGACATCAGCATAGTACCCAATTCTGGCCCCCTGGCCCATGCCTTCCTTGTAGCTCTGCATTGGCCATGCAGCAAGGAATAGTGGGGCTGGGTGCTTAGCAACACAGGTATTTGCCCGGTGTAACCCTGCAAAACTATAACATATTCCGTTCCAGGCGCCAAGTTATACAAAAAAACAAGGTAACAGAAGTTAGATCACTGGTAGAAGCAAATGGCAGAAGCAATTCTAATTCTCACAGGAGCAAAGCAATTATTATAGAAGCGAAATAGCAAGTTATTATTATGTCCCTTCATTCTTCCTATTCTACTATTATGTCCACTTCCTCAGGGTCCTGCGAAAAAGCAAAGTGGAACAACATCTGATGACCTCCTTTTACCAGTCCACAATAGAAAGTGTCCTCACCCACTGCATTACGGTGTGGTATGCTGGCTTGACAGCCGTGGATAGACACTACAGAGAGTGGTGAGCACAGCACAAAATATCGTGGGCTGTCCCTATACCACTAGACGACATCGCTAGGGCTCGTTGCCTTAGAAGAGTGAGGAAAATCCCAAGGACGACTCACACCCTGGTTAGCATTTTATTCTCCTACCATCAGGAAGGAGACATAGAAGCATAGGCAGCCACACAAACAAACTGAGGAATAGTTTTTATCCGTGGGCTGTCAGACTCCTGAATGGAAAATAACCTTACAACATAGTACAAGTAACTTGTGGGACCGGCACAATGTGCAATAAGTTCACATGGTGCAATAGGATTGTGTATTTGTTCGGATTCATTGGGTTAGGGATTTTCTGTCTTCACTGTGAGAGTTGTATAGTGTTGGGGGGGTGCACGAAGGGAGGCTCAGCCAATCTCATTGTACACATGTTGTACTCTGACAATAAAGGTTTGAAATTGGTGAAATACCACTGGTTAATTGTTCTGTCAGGAAGTTTCTCCTTAGTTTTCGGTTGCTTCTCTCTTTGTTCAGTTTCCAGCCATTGCTTTTTTTTTTTTTTTTTGTCTTCTGCTGCTTTGGAAAATACATATCCCCCCTTCTTTGTGGCAGCCCCTCAAAAGTCTGTTTTGTGACCTATCACACTCTTGGGCAAAGCATGTGAGCCATTTCCTCCTTTCAGTGGTCCATGAAAGTACATCTATAGGCATGATGGTGAACCTATGGCATTTGTGCCAGCACGCGAGCTGCAAGCAAACTTACCTCACTGCGCATGCACGCACCTCATAGCTGATTTTCGGCTGGTTTGAGGCCTTTTTCGGTCTCCCATAGGCTTCAGGAAGGCTTCTGCAGGCTTTTCAGGATGAAAACTAGGCC